TATATATATATATATATATATACCGGTATATATATGCCAAAATCATCAATATTAAAACAATAAAAGGCTTGAAGTACTTCAGTTGTATGTAAATGAATCTAAAATATATGACAGTCTAATGTTTATCAGTACATTACAGAAAATAATGAACTTTATCACAATATGCAAATTTTTTGAGGAGTTGAAAAGCAACTGTTCTTGAAAGAAATTTTTCCCCACTTGTGTTCAGATGTTCATTGGTGAATACTATTTTGAAACGTGGTAGTGCGTAGTTTTTTGGGGTTTCTTTGTAACCGTGAAACTTTCATTACATTATAGTGTTTAGTCAGCTGAAAACATTGTTACAAACGAGAGAATATATGACTGGCAAATGTAATGTTTGTGTCAGTTTAGCTCAGCGGAGGCGAGAGGAAGCTTGCTGCTATATAAGTACACTTTAATCACAAATACAGACAAGGATCAAAGAGCATAACATCAATAACCAACGGGGAGATTAAGGGAGGACACTACAGGTGGAAACAATTAACATGAAAAAATTTGAGATACAAAAGTCAAAATTTGAGATAAAAAGTTGGAATGTTGTTTTACCAAGTGACATCTAACTCACTGCATACTGCATCATTCCATGCCATTTTTCTTTTCACCTGGTGGAAATGAGCTTCTAAAGGAATGTGAAAGTTTAAATGTGATCATGAAAATTGAAAAGTGATTTCTAAATTCAGACTGTGATTATGTAAATTTGCAATCACATCTCTTTTGTGGGCAATAGTTGCCTAGTGGATAGGGTGATTGACTGGAGATAAAAAGGTCATTGGTTCGATCCCCAGCTCCACTGGGAGTTGAAGCTGGGATGAGTGTTGAAACTCTCTCCCACCTGTGACAACCATTAATGTGGTGGTCTTGAGCAGGTCACCAGTTTCTCCACAGCTCCCTGGGAACCACAGCTTTAGCTGCCCACTGCTCCAGGTGTGTGTTCACGGTGTGTTTGTTGACTGCTGTGTGTGTGCACTTACACTTTATTTCATAATTCATAGTGGATGTTTTAGGAACATTCTTAATATTCCTAATTCTTAATCTCTTACAAGTATTTTCCAACCCCCCAAAAAATATATTCTGCTGTTTGAAAGCAATAGCTACAGAAAGGTTAGTCAGTAAGGGGTTCGGTTAAATAGAACACATTGGTGTCACGTTTCAGTGCGTTTTCAAATATTTTATTTTTTATTAAAATAAAGAGATCACCTGTGAAACTGGTAATTACACTTTCACCACCCCCTCACACCTCTACTTATTATAATAATATGATTTTTTTATTAATTCCTTCTTCTCTGGTTGAAATCTGTTTGAATGCCTGTCGAAATGCGACTCCAATCGTTTGTCCCATGCTCATTTGTACCGTTAACCGTGTTCCAGTTGTTGAAGCATTATAGGGCACACTACTTCTAAACAATGCTCCGGATCTTCACAGAATGCTATTTCTTAAAAACTTACATTTGCTTCAGATTTGGAGTGAAGTACTTCAGTTGTGTGTAAATGAATCTAAAATATATGAGCCAAAAAGGCTCACAGACCAGACCTCGCCAATGTGTCGGCTCAAGTTGCATCACGTGACCTGATATCACAAATTCCTCCCAGCTGAACCTTCTGTCAGATTGGAATTCTGCTTTCACATGACCACATGCGACCATAGTGTGATCACCCCAGGGTGATGTCTCAGATGTGTTAACACACAACATTTGATGTATTGATGCTTATAACTCTAATAAGCAGAAGCTAAATTGAATTATCCCCCACAGAAATGACAGTAGCTACTAAGTACTGTACAAAGTTATTGTAGATGCATTTGATGTCAAGTTTTTTTTTGAGTGCAACAGTGTTGTGTCTAAACACTAAACATTTTTTTATAAGTTTGTAAGGATTTTACAAAAACAAACAGGTAGCTAAAACTGGTAAGTTGGAGGGATGGCCATGTCATGTCCATTTTATCAAACGATTCAGTAAAAAAGACCATACCATATAAACAAGATAAATGCAAAAACATGAAAGAAATTTTGTAATGGTGTCTGAATGGATAAACTGATACCAAAAATCGACGGTTGCTTATTTGGCAGTGTTTTGGAAGGTAGCATTTTACAAGCCCTCTATAAAATATTCAGTCTTGGTTTGCAGACAGATCTAAATTATTAATGTCTGCAAAATGAAAAATCAGAAAATATTCTCTTGGCCAGTGGCATGGGGATTTTAGTTTCCACTTAAAAGCATGTGGTTAGTTATTAACTGGCCAAATCATCATCTAGGCTTTGTCTGACTATATGATCAGTCAAAGATGCTCCCTACACATCTATTCTTAGGAGCACATAGATCCGTTGAGTTTTGAATATTTGTAATGGATTAATATAATATAAGTCTTCAGTATCTCCCTAGTTTGAAAGCCTGCCTCCCTCTATGTATTCATCAAATATCTTTGCATAACACAGTACATCATCTAAATACAAAATGCAGCACTCATTACACAGAGCTTCCAACATTTCTTCCATGCTCCCCTGGAAGGCTGCAGGAACAATGCAATTCTCACCCATTCATACCCCCAGTGGGTAGTAAAAGCGGTGACATGTCTTGCGTTATCAGCAATGAAACGTTTGTAATGTGTGCTGAACCAAGAATAGCCTCAGAAAGAGTTTTGTATCCTGGGTATCAGATGCCAATGCTGGGTGGTCTCTTGATTCAAGAGATGGTAATCATTGCAAAGAAGAAGTGTTCCATCCTTCCACCATCAGCGTTGTAGAACTCCGTTTTGACAATTTAGCCTTTCATGAGCAGGTACTGAATGCGGCTGATGACTAAGGTAATCTGGGGCGTGGCCCGAGGTGTTCCCCAGCCATTTGGGAGACATAGTCCTTCCAGTATGTCCTGGGTCTTCCCCGGGGCCGCCTCCCAGTGGGACATGCCCAGAACACCTCCCCCGGGAGGTGTACAGAACATATTCCCTAGCCACCTCAGCAGACTCCTCTCAATGTGGGGGAGCAGCAGCTCTACTATGAGAGATCTCTAAGGGAGCACCTAGCCACCCAGCGGAGGAAGCTCATTTCGGCCGCTTGTATCTAGGATCTTGTCCTTTCGGTCATGACCCAAAGCAGGTGAGAGTAGGAATATGGATCGACGGGTAAATCGAGAGCTTCGCCTTTCGGCTCACCTCCCTCTTCACTAGGAAAGACCGATACAACGACCGCTTCACTGCAGACCGATCGGTTTGTTGATCTCACACTCCATCCTCCCTTCACTCATGAACAGGACCCCAAGATACCTCCTCCACCTGAGGCAGGAGCACTTCCCTGACCAGGGGAGGGCAGGCCACCCTTTTCTGTTTGGGAACCATAGCCTCAGACTTGGAGGTCCTGACCCTCATCCCAGCCACTTCACACTCAGCTGCAAACCACCCCAGCTGGTCCATTGTTCCACGACCAAGTCGGAAGCCTGCGGGAGCCTGTGGAGTGTGGTCTCCCTGTAGTGGGAACACACCCTCCGGTTCACCTTCTTGGAAAGTGGGATTACCACCCCGGCCTGTCAATCCAGAGGCACTGTTAACTGTCGCCACGCGATGCTGCAAAGAAGTGTCAACCAGGACAAGTCCCACAGCATCTAGGCACTTGAGGTACTCAGGGCAGATCTCATCAACCCCCGATGCCTTACCACTGAGGAGCTTACCAACCACCTGAGTGACTTAGGCTTGGTCGATGGACAAGTCCACCTCAAGGACCCCAGCCTCCATCTCCTCAACGGAGGACGTGACAGTGGGATTGAGGAGACCCTCAAAGATTCACACCGGTCTGTAAACAGTGTTGGTGCAGCACAGCTTCCTCCTCCTGAGACGTGGGACAGTATGCCAGAATCTCTTTGAGTTGAAGATTGCTCTAAAAGAGGGTTTGACCAGACATTCTTAGCAGACCCTCACAGTAAGTTTGGGTCTGCCAAGTCTTTCCAGCCTCCTCCCCAGCAAGCGGATCCAACTCACCATCAGGTGGTGATCGGTTGACGGCTCAGCCCCTCTCTTCAATAAAAAGGGGAATGTCCAAAACACATTGTTGTAAGTCAAATAATATGACAACAAAGTCGAACATCGACCTCCGGCCTAGGGTGTCCTGGTGCCACATGCACTGGTGGACACCCTTGTGCTTGAACATAGTGTTTGTAATGGACAAAATGTCACAAGCACAGAAGTCCTATGACAGAACACCACTCAGGTTCAGATCGAGGAGGCCATTCCTCCCAGTCACGCCCCTCCAGGTGTGGCTGTCGTCACCCATATATTCCCCCAGGAGAATGATGGAGTACCAGGTTGGAGCACTTCAATCACCCCTCCCAGGGACTCCAAGAAGGCTGGGTACTCTACACTGCTGTACGGCATGTAGATCGTAAGAAAGGTGAGAGATCTGCCCCCCCACCCAAAGGCGGAGGGACGCGACCCTCTCACTCACCAGGGAGAACTCCAACACATAGTGGCTAAGCTGAGGAGCTCAGCTCTCAGCTTACCACTGGAGATCTGTCTTGAGGAGCTGGGTTTCAGAGCCCAGGCTGTGCATGGAGGTGAGCCTGACTATCTGTGTCCATGGATTGGGCCGCCGAGGTACCTGCCTTCGACTGCCGCCCAGAATCACAATGCACCGGCCCCTTATGGTCCCTCCTGTGGGTGGTGGGTCCACTGGAGGGTGATCCCATGTGGCCTTTTTGGGCTGGGCCCGGCAAGGTCACGTGAGGAGAGACCTGACCACCAGGTGCTCGTCTGCGAGCCCCAACCCCAGGGTGGGGCCATGGTGACACCTAATCCTGGCGATGTTGCGGATATTGATGGTATTGATAAGGGGCTTCTGAACTGCTCTTTATCTGACTCAGTAAGCCCCCTACAATATAGCTCTTAGGATCACTCGAGCAGTCTAACCTCTCCACTACGTTAAGGTGGGGGGGGGGGGGGGTGTTGAACCTATCCTGTGCATTCTTAAAAAGCTGTCAGTGGCATGAGGCAAAAAGATTGGTCATTTGCAAAATTCTGATACTAAAACATTATACATTGGTTCTGGATAATTCACAGTACAACATACAGTGAATCAATGTAAGGATAATAAAAGTCAAAAGATAAGTGTCCAGTGTATAATGATGAAAGTGTTTGCATGTTTCTGTTGTGTTTTGATTTAAAGTTAGAAATTGGTGTTGTGCACAATTGAACGACCATCTGAATGAAATTGCTAACACTTTAAATGAAAATTAAACTGATTCTACGCCTAAATAGGCTTAAATATGAGCATAATCATATCTGAAGCGTTATTTGGTACAGACTACAAAGAGTTCCAGTCTTGTCTAAGACTTTATTTCCATTTTCAGAAATATGCAAGTCTGCATTTAATAAATGATTTCTCTGCTGCATCATTTACATAAGTGCAATGGATCCAGTTTTTATTGAGGTGGAAAATAAGATGCACATTATTCATGACTGATGTTTTCTATTGGGCCTACAGAGACTGTAAAGCAGAAATAAACATTCCCTATATAGAAAACATCCCTCTTATGCTATTGGTGAATTGCATTTTGTCCAAACATCCAAGTACTTTGGACAAGCAATTCCCAGGGGCTGCAAAATGCAAGAATAGGAAAGAAATCAATTTAAAGTAACATGCTGTGGTGCATTTGAACTTTTGTATTATTTGCAGTGTAAAAAATTTATTTGTGGCTGTCCTTTTTATTAATTATTTAGTTCTCTCTGGTGGATGTCACAGAGTACAGGTGCAGGGAGATCGTGTCAGGCAGAATAGTGCTTCAAGCAAATGATTTTGGAACTCAAGA